TCATGCACTGGAGTTTTTGAAAATCTTTCGGAGACAAGATCCTGGCCAAATCACGCCGGAGCTTTGACTTAATATCTATAAACTTAAACAACCTATAATGTTCAGTATCATATGCCTTACTTAATTTCGGAATAGAGGCCTGATGGAGACATTCATTAACCTTTTCCGCGTGGTCGGGTCTCTTTAGGTCACAGAACTTAGGAGTGATACCATACCGTTTACAACAGTTTTTAAAAAGTTTGACGAGTTCGTCGCTTGGTGAGGAGAATGGCAAAACTCACTGATGGTGCGGATTACGATGCCTGCGAAACGTTTTAGAATTCATCAAGTCCACTGTCAGATGCTGGGAATCATGACAACTACTATGGCAGACGACTTCGGACTATATGTGTTTTACTAAATCGCCCTGACAACAAAACCAAGTTGTGACAACGAGCTCAACCCACTTCTACCAATCTATGCCTCGTACAATCTGCTCTTTACTCTTATTGTCTTGTCTACTTTGATACCAAACCTGCAGTCAATCGTTCTCTCCCTCTACCTGGGTACTTATTAGAGTCAGGCATCAAATATGTCGCTGCCTGATTACCTCGCTTTTTTATGGCATCCTAACGGTTGACGGCACATCTTTGAGTCAAGTCACAAGAGCATTTTCAGATTTAGGGATCTCAGAAGCATTTCAGCCATTCTTGACGGACTCAAATGCGCCTAAGTCACCTTAAAATCATTCTAGGAACCACGAACCTCGGCTGTCGAAAGAAGATTTTCTGGCAAAAATGTAGCAAAATCGTGGCCAAATTGGCTTTTTATTCAACCCAATGAATCGTATGTGGCATGAAGATGGCAAACTTAATGTAAAACCGAAGTGGGCTGAACTCGTTGTCGCAACTTGGTCTTGTTGTCAAGGCGACTTAGAAGAACGCACCTAATTCGAAGTCGTCTGTCAGAGTAGTTCTATAATTTGTGAATGTACCAAGTCCATTGTCTGATACTGGGAATTATGGCAGAAGACTTCGGACTAGGTGTGTTCTACTAAGTCGCCCTGACAACAAGATTAAGTTGCGGCAACAAGGTCAACCCACTTCTATACATCGAAAGGAGACTGCGACCATACCGGAGGTCACACCATCTTGGTATTCATATCTCCAATTAATGTAAAATCGTTTAAATGGAGTACCACTGAATTGAGCCGTTCGTGTCGCTAACTCAATTATGGAACAAGCAATCTTCGAGATTTCAAAGAGGTTTCGGCTCGAAAAAGAGACAAAAAAAAGATAGTACAACTGATGGATTAACAAAGCTAAGCAAGGGTCAACGTTTCAAGCCTATATTGGAACAGCAATTCACACAAACAAGTGCTATATCATATCTCCACAATTAAGGGACCTCCTGATCTGTCTTTGGCTTAGGATGAATAGAAAGTGGGGAGGTATGGCCATCATTCGCACACCTTCGGAGCACTCAAATGAGGCTGTGAAATAGATAATGGCACTTTTCACAACATTAATTTATTTTAAAACTTTATTCCGGCCACGTTACCATCTTTAATAGTCTCGAGGTCTCATCCTCAAGAGAATGTTTTGCCATACCCGGAGTTCTCGGGAATGAATTGTTATCAGACTCGAGCTTTCCTCAGCATTAACTCAACATGAAACTGCATTAAAAGATTCGGCTGGGGCCTCAACCTCGCATTATTCGCATTGGTCGCTTATGAGTAGTATCACCTAATAATTGGAGTTCCTCTACTTAAAGGTATACTGTCAATTGCCTTTTCTCTAAACTGTACCACAGGCAATTTCAAAGAGGACGGACGCATCAATCCGAAATTGAATACCCTTTTTCAGAACATAACCTCCCACTCAGAGTCAGAGTAAACTGTTTCGCTGTTTCTTTTAATGGACCAGGATGCGCTGAGCTGGGTGACTGGACTGTGGAAAAAGGATGTAAATGCCAAATGTTGTCAATAAAAGTGAGTACCAATGTGACGTCTTTGAGGCAAATAAAAAGAGCTATACAATTCTGGTGACTGAGCATTAAAAAAAACAGCATAAAAATGAATATGTTTCACAGGGTTTTTTATATGCAAGGACCGAAAAGCCGAAAATTGGCTGTGGGGATACAATCGAAAACGCAACATATGACAAATGCTCGCTTGCAGCAGAACTTCACAAAGTCTGGAATTTTAGCACAGCTTCAATAAAGAATTTTCTTTTCATAGTCTTATATTGAATTCCTCCATCATGGCTAATTAATATTTCATAAATAGGATATCGTTTGAATTGCTTTCTACAAGCAAAACCAT